CACTACCCTTCCCTGCTTTGAAGCGCAGAGATTGGCTGAATGCAAGAAAGAACCCCGCCCCTAGTCTTATGACCGGCGCTGAAGCTCTCAGTCCCGGCTTTTAGCGCTGTGGTCGGTGGGCAGCAACTGTCTTCCTCCGCTTCCCCGAGCCTTTTCCGTGGTGGTGCTGCTCTCGTCGCTGCCTGCTCTTCCGGATCATGGTGTGCTTCCGCCTCTCTCCGGTGCCGGGCTCCGGGCTCGTTGTGCTCTGCCTCATTCTGGGTGAGTTGTCGGGCCCTCCTGCTTAGTTCACCCCCCCCCCCCCCCCCCCGGATTATATATTTTCAATGTCTCCGGTTAAGTTTTTGAACATGTTGAATACTGTTCAAAGGCCACAACTTGCCGAACTGGTCCCAGGGGTGGGGGGTTGAGAAGCTGAACAGCTGACACTGGGTGGTGGCGCTTGCCTCAGGTGACAAGCAATGACCTAGAGGAGACCCGACGGGAGGGATGGCGGAGGAAGAAGGGCCAGTGAGAGTAAGAAAGGGCAAGTAAGCAGGGTGGGCTGGATGCCAAGAGAGTAGGTAGGAAAGAGCGAGGAGTGAAGCGGATGGGGTTGGAAGAGTCATTAGGGGAAACTATGAAGGAATGAGCTTAGGAAGTCGATACGTGCTGATTCTAGGGTGGCAGAGACAATTAGGAAAGCCCTGGCTTCCTAGGATCAGGGAAGAGTTTTGAAGATGGTGGAAAAGTATGGGGCGAGAGAGAAAATTGGGGAACGAAAAGATTGCCTGCGTGAAGAACTTGAGGGAAGTGGGGCAGATATGAGAGTTGACTCTGAGGGACAGTGAGAGGGTTGGGGGCTTTGGTGGAGGGGTGATTAAAGAGATGAATGATTCTGGATTTGACTTTGGTAGTTGGAGTTCTGAGGGGGAAGGGACCTGAGGTGGCTGGGCAATTTCCAAGCAAGAAAACTCAGGCTCAACCTCTAGAGAGTAAAGGAATGAGTGGATACTTCGATAGGGAGTGAATATCTGACTTGGAGGTGTTGAAGTTGTCAGTTTTCTACTAGTTGTCCTACTTTTCCCAGCCCCTAAATCCATCCTCAATGTTTCAGTTGGAAGGGCCTTCCAGATCCAAGGATTTGAGATTGTATCTGACTCTTGTATGCTTCTTTGCCTTCAGAATCTCTTTTTCTTCTTCCGTATCATGCAACTGGCCTATTACTTGGTTTTCAGAGGAGGAAAAGGTGGAGGGTAGGTAACTTGCTAAGGACTGGGTTGTTATCATGTCCTCAGAATGGCTGGGTGAATGTTGGCTGATTGTCTCCCCCCACCCCTCCAAGCAATCAGTTTAATGCCTGAAAGGTGAACTTTGACCAGAATGTTTTTTCCTGACCTGATTCATCCTGTTTGTTGCTACCCACGGACTCTTGCTGTTTGTGACCTAATTAAAAAAGAAACAAAAACTGAAGGAACAGATCAGATGGTAGCAGAGAGGAAATAGATATATTAGGGTCCTGAGAAGATAGTGAGGAGTACACATCTTATAATTTACACGTCAGTAGAATAAAATGAGCCCCCTAGAACAGTGTATTCTCAATCAGGGGATATTTGGCAATATCTGGAGACATTTTTGGTTGTCACAACTGGGAATTGCTTTTAGCATCTAGTGGTTAGAGGTCAGGTATGCTTCTAAATATTCTACAATGCACAAGACAGCTCCCCCAAAACAAAGAATTATCTACCTCAAAATGTCAGTAGTACCAAAGCTGAGAAATCTTGCTCCACATCCATAGCTTTGGAAGGATTCTTGATTATCTGATGTACTGATTCTCAAGAATCTTTGCTGGGAGTCTGTCAGATCAAAACTATTTCCAGCAAAATACTAAGATATTATTTGTCCTTTTCACTCTCATCCTCTCACCGGTGTTCAGTGGAGTTTTCCAGAAGCCACGTAATGAGTGATGGCATCACCCTGATGGCTCTGATATGTTTTATTTACTTCTCAGTTTTAAATTCTATGGCAAATACCTATAGACATAACTCACATAAACAAAAGCTAGTTGAGGTGTTGGGTGGATAAGAGAGTAAAGGGGGTCTTGACACTGAAACATTTGTGAATCTCTGATCTAGTCCAGCTGTCCACACAGAGCAGGAAACTCTTGTGTAGGCTTTCTGAAAGCGGGTGGGTGAGGCTTTGCTCAAGCACAGTTTGAAGCTTTCATGCTACTGAGGATGAGAGACCCTAAGAAAGGATTGTTTACCATAAAAGCACCTTATCAGTGACTAGAATGCATCGAACCACAGCATCTGTTAACCAGTAAGTCACTGCCAATTGAATCTGCACAAATACAACAGTTATTGTTTAGAGAAAGTGAAAAAAACAGTTTGTCTTACTTGTTGGTTTTAATTTGTCATTATTTTTTTTGTTTTTTAATGAAAGCTCTTTTGTTTTGATTTTACAAAAGCAATGCTTGCTCATTGCAGAAAATAAACAGGCAAAAGAAACATAAAAGAACCTATCAGCTCATCTGCTAGTTTGCCATTTATTGATTGGGACTAACTAGATTCACCCTCTGGGAAGATTTCCTAGATTGATTCACTCCACTTGCAAGTTCAAAACAGGATTTCGAGAAGTAAAAGTTAATAATGTACCCAGATCAGATTTTTAAAAGGTACCAGGATGAAATAGAAACCATGTCTTCTATACAGCTGCTTTTTCTGACAGCTGTTGGTTCAGTGTGGCACTAACTCCTTCCATGTGGTTTTGTCTCTTGAAATTTTATATATCAAAATGGCTACCAAGAATAAGTTTTTGAAAACTCAATAAATATTTGTAGCCGAAGCCGGTTTGGCTCGGTGGATAGAGCCCCAGATCAGTTTTAAAAGGTACCAGGATGAAATAGAAACCATGTCTTCTATACAGCTGCTTTTTCTGACAGCTGTTGGTTCAGTGTGGCACTAACTCCTTCCATGTGGTTTTGTCTCTTGAAATTTTATATATCAAAATGGCTACACAGAG